CCAAATCCCACGCGTCCCAAATCCCACGCGTCCCAAAACCCACGCGTCCCAAATCCCAAATCTCCCGAATCCCAAATCCCCCAAATCCCAAATCCCCCAAATTCCCAATCCCCCAAAACTCCCACTTCCTCAATTCCCACCTCTCCAATTTCCACCTTCCCTAACTCTCATCCCCCTAAACTTGCAACCTTCCCAAAACACCTCAGCGCCCAAAGTCCCCAAACCCAATTTTGACCCTCAAAGTCTACAACCTCCTCCTCCAGAAATTAGAGAGTAGCCACAAGAAGGCCATCCAAACGCACGAAGTACTTTCTCAGCCCAAGTAGATCAAAGCTGCATCATGCGATTCGACAGTTAACTCGATAAAATTTGTCAAACGATCAATCGGCTCAGGATGAGTTGCTCGCGCAGCAATCAAAGAGTCACGCGATTTCCAAAGCGTTTATCCACTCGCGAGAGGAGCTCCGTGAAAATTGGCTGCGCACTTTCTCGCCGTCAGATCCGTCTGAAGCCATCGTCGTTCGAGCGTAGCGCGCGAAAATCCGATCTCCCGACTAGCAAACTGGGCTGATTTAAAGTAGGCCTCGTTTCGCTTAGTTGGGGGAAATAATGCTTCTATTTCTTTTTGAGAAGGTGATTTTTTGATGGTTAGGTTTGGAGAGATTTTCAGGGATAGGCTGATCGGCCATTTTGCTGTGGAGTGTCGCCTCGATTTCGTTGTCGAGATCGAAAGTGGCTCCGGCTGGGTCGATCGGTGACTATAGGAATGATGAATACCTGTGGAAGGCTTGTTTTCTTGAATAAGCCTTGAATGAGTGATTTTGATTGAAGCTGAAATTGCATGTGGACATTGAAGTTGACATATGAATACTGAAATTGCATGTAGACATTGAAATTTCGTGTGGATTCTCAAATTGACATGTACACATTGAAATTTCATGTGGACATTTAAATTGACATGTGGACACTGAAGTTGACACATGAATACTGAAATTGCATATGGTCATTGTAATTTCATGTGGACACTCAAATTGACATGTGGACATTGAAATTGACATATGAACACTAAAATTGCATGTGGACATTGAAATTTCATGTGGACACTCAAATTGACATATGGACACTGAAGTTGACATATGAACACTGAAATTACATGTGGACATTGAAATTTCACGTGGACACTCAAATTGACATGTGGACATTGAAATCTCATGTGGACACTCAAATTGACATGTGCCATCAAACTGCCATATGTACACTGTAACTGCATGTGGACATTGAACTTATCATATGAACATTGAAATTGCATGTGGACATTAAAATTGATATGTGAACATTGAAATAGCATGTGGACATTGAACTTATCATATGAATATTGAAATTGCATGTGGACATTAAATTTGACATGTGGACATTGAAGTAGCATGTGGACATTGAAGTCAACATGTGAATACCCAAAACGTGCTAATGGATAACACTAGCATGTGTTGATTTTAAGCAACAAATAATTATTTCGAAATTAATTTGCTCATTTCCAGCAAAGTCTAAGCTTCAGATTGATATAAATGCTATTCTGTGACACTTTTATATCATGAAATTCTTGCAGACTTTCTACACTTCGAAATCGGTCAACGCAATAACAAAGAACATTGCACCACCTGTTGCTGATAAGTCACTTCATATTGGAGTACCTAGAAAATATTTTTCGTGGGAAGTCACTTGTCAGGAAATGTGGTACTTAATCTAATAATTGTCAAGTTATTTCCACAGTGAATAAGTAGTAATTCCTCGATTAACGGAAGCGTGGTCATAGGAGGAAGAGGTTATCGATTAAAGGTTTGTGGAGCAAACGGAATCAATGTAGAAGAAAGTTGAATTGGTCGTGCGTCGGGCACCCACGGCTTCGCTCTCATTAGACCGCCGGATATCCTTTTTTCCCCGCAAATTCGACAGAGATTCGAATTCTCCGCTCTATTTGACGCTCCCTCTCACCAGGCGCGGTGACGGCCGCGAGAAGACCCCTCGCCTCCTCTTGTCAGGCCGCGAAAGAAGAGAGCACGCCGACGGCGCGTTGCTCTCGACTACGGAGAATGTATGGAACGGCCGAAAGGCAAAAAGGAAAAAGGACTACCCGGTGACTCGCTCTATATATACTGCAACTATCCGAGGGTATGTCCAGTGCACGGTACGCGTCTCGTCCGTCAGCTTCAACCCACTAGTCTTCGCGAGCAACCGCGTTGTGCCGGACGTCCAGCAGGATCGAGAACAGCGTCCGGAGATCAACCAGGATGAAGGGATTCGATAAACGGTCGTGTCAACAGGCTCTCGTGCTTCCTCTGCTGCTGCTCGTCGGCTGCGTGACTGGCGAGATCGAGAGACGTACCTCGAAGCAGATGGTCGAGGAGTCGCCCGAGAGCCTGGCCTCGACCTTGAGCAAAGACTGCGGCAAGTCCTACAGTGCCACTTGCCTCAAGCTGGACGTGGTGTCCTTCCTGGACAGGCTGTCCGAGCAGGAGGACATCAGCATCCTGCCGGGCGTCTCCGTCATCAAGGAGAATGACACGGCCAACATGCCGGCTTCAGAGGTGGTCGCTAACCTGGCTAGGGACTTCCCGAACGACGTGGAGAAGAGACTGGACGCTTATCTGGTTCACAAAGTGGGCAGTTACCTGAACAGCCACTCTATATCCATCAAACTGTTCGACCCTAGGACTTTTGAGGCTGCCAGGAACTTCAACGAGGAGACGCTGGCGCAACTGGGTCTGGGACAGAGCGTCGGAACTGGTAAGGTATCTAGAGATTAAGGTTGGAGGACTTTGTCACTCGAATATGATAACCTCCGTAGGACGGAAGAAGGATAAGGGTGGCAACGGCGGTCTGATGGCTGGGCTGCTGATGATGAAGGGTACTCTCGGAGCTGTCGGGTTCGGTGCGCTCGCTCTGTTAGCCGGTAAAGCGTTGATGACGGGTCTGATGGCGTTGATGTTGTCGGCGATCGTTGGACTGAAAGCCCTGACGAGCGGCGGCGAGAAGAAGACCACCTACGAGATCGTGAGCAAACCCGTGTACTCCACATCGCACACGCACAGCTCCGAGGAGCATCACGGTCACGGTTACGGCCATTCGGGATACGGCCGATCCTTGGACGCCATTCAGGACTCCGTGCAGCAGGCGGTGCTGAAGTACGGGAACGCGAGGGATCGCCGATCGCTGTTAAATTAATTAAGAGGCTCCAGCTGCTCGCTGGTACACCAGACATCTAGTAGCACGTCTCTACCTCACAGTACACTTCGTTTCCCTTCACCGATCCTTCTCTACACCTTCTCTCGCGTTTCGCTTTCTTGTTGCTCCTGGCTCTCTTCCATTCACCTGGTCTCATTTCATCCTCCGATCACCATTGTTATGCTCATAGATTCGTAGGTATTTATTATTGCCAATCCTATCCTTTTTCCTCTCTCACGATTTCTGATCCTTCGATCATGTACATCTCTTGTTATTTATGTGTATTTATGGATTGTAAAGTTTTAATAAAATTTGTTTTTAAAATCGTGTTGAACTTGTTGAGTTCAAGTTCGGGATGAATTCCCTTGTTGGACGGTGTTGAAACCTTATTGAAACTTAATCAAAATGTAACGACGTACGCAAGGAATATATAAAATTTAATGGATAGACATTGTTGTTTTACCTGACCTATATTTGTTAGGCCTACAAGTAGATGTTAAGTTAGATCAAACTTTAATTTGATCTAAGTTATTCTTAATACTGTATCAAATTCCTATTTGATCAACGTCATTGTTAATACTGTATCAAATTCCTATTTGATCAAAATCATTGTTAATGTTGTACCAAGCTCCAGTTTGATCAAAATCATTCTTTATATTGTATCAAGCTCCAATTTGATCAAAATCATTCTTAATGTTGTACCAAGCTCCAGTTTGATCAAAATCATTCTTTATATTGTATCAAGCTCCAATTTGATCAAAATCATTGTTAATATTATATCAAACTCCAGTTTGATCAAAATCATTCTTAATATTATATCAAACTCCAGTTTGATCAAAATCATTCTCAATATTGTATCAAGCTCCAATTTGATCAAAATCATTGTTAATATTATATCAAACTCCAGTTTGATCAAAATCATTCTCAATATTGTATCAAGCTCCAATTTGATCAAAATCATTGTTAATATTATATCAAACTCCAGTTTGATCAAAATCATTCTCAATATTGTATCAAGCTCCAATTTGATCAAAATCATTGTTAATATTATATCAAACTCCAGTTTGATCAAAATCATTCTCAATATTGTATCAAGCTCCAATTTGATCAAAATCATTGTTAATATTATATCAAACTCCAGTTTGATCAAAATCATTCTCAATATTGTATCAAGCTCCAATTTGATCAAAATCATTCTTAATGTTGTACCAAGCTCCAGTTTGATCAAAATCATTCTTAATATTATATCAAACTCCAGTTTGATCAAAATCATTCTCAATATTGTATCAAGCTCCAATTTGATCAAAATCATTCTTAACATTGTATCAATCTCCAGTTTAATCAAAATCATTCTTAATATTATATCAAACTCCAGTTTGATTAAAATCTTTCATAAAATTACATCAAACTCCAATTAGATCAAAATCATTCATAAAATTATATCAAACTGCAATTTGATCAAAATCATTCATAAAATTATATCAAACTTCAACTTGATCAAAATCATCCACAAAACTGCCTCAAACTCCAATTTGATTAAAATCATTTATAAAAATATATCAAACTCCAACTTGATCAAAATCATCAACAAAACTGCCTCAAACTCCAATTTGATTAAAATCATTCTTAAAAATATATCAAACTCCAATTTGATCAAAATCATCCACAAAACTGCCTCAAACTCCAACCTGATCAAACTCATCCACAAAACTGAATCAAACTCCAACTGGATCAAAATCATGCACAAAACTGCCTCAAACTCCAACTTCACTAAAATCAAACAAAAGATAATAAAATCTACAAAATTGTTTTATATCGACAATCCTCAGAAAAATGAATTAGGTGATCAAGCATTCTTGGTTTTAAGAATCTGCATTTTAAATGATTATACGATTGCGTTTCCTGTTTCACGCGTCGCGGAAAAGAAAATGGTAGACCCATTAGCACAAGAATGCCTCCGGCATGAAATTATATGTGTCAGATAGTAATTGCAAAATGAATATCGTTCAATTAAACTGATAGGAAACAAGGTCGTCCCCTTCACAACGCCGCACGTTAGACTTCCTCGACGTTCACTGATCAACTAGGCACACGTGGTGGTCATTCGTCAGGTGCAGTTTATGAAACTGGTTTGAAACGCTACATCACTATGACATTATCTCAGTACTGTATCACTGTGTTATATGTTCTGGAGTGGTGCATCGAGTTAAATGACGCGTGCTGATTTAAACATTGTAATTAATCTTTGAGTTTTTGATAGAACTGAGTACTTTCTGAAGAAACAGATACTGGACAGATACTTAACTAGAAGTTCTTTGCATTAATCAAGTTTTGCTCTTCTTCTGTTAGTTCTGTTAGTTCTGAAGTTCTGTTAGTTCTGTTAGTTCTGAAGTTTTGTTAGTTACAGAGTGTTCAGTTAAATCTACCTTGAAATCCGAATACCTCAGCCTATTTTGCAAGGAGTGGTCTATAATCACTACAGCTATGAAGCAGAAGTCAGGATCATCATCATATCATTTTTCAAGACATGAACTCTTCATCAAACATATTCATTCGTAAAATTATTCTTGCAGGTTAATGTAAAGAAGTTGTTGTAACAAAAGTGGAGGAGGAAGTGGAGGATGTAGCTCTTCAGACACCTCCTATGATCCTCCATCTGTTAACTATCGTATACATATTGCATGGTCCACCATACGATACGAATATTTATGGCAAAGGTGTGGTTATGTGTAAAGATGTGGTCGAAAGACGTTTTGTAACTACAGAGAGCAATAAAATAAATGATACGTGTCATTACATCATATGTCATACATCATTAGTGTTACCTGTACATCATTTAAATCATCCTCATAATAACATCCTCAGTTCGTAATAAGCGAGATTAAACAGAATCATATGTATTCTGATCCCAATTATAGCTACTCAAGCTGGAACACCAGCGATTACGAGGAGCCGCAGAGGTATCAATATTTGAACAACAACGGCCACACGGGAAACAACAGCGTGATGGAACCCCTGTAACGCGAGGGATCCGATAATTACGTCGTCGACACGGGTTCCTATCAAAACGTGGACTCGAAAGTGCATGTGGTCGACTCGAGGCCGGTCGATTACGTGGACAGCGTTAATCATGTCGGCTCGACAAACTACATTGCGAATAGATAGCATGGGAACAATTTACGAGTTGTATAGTGCACTCTGTGGGAAGTGCAAGAGGAAGAATTAGGGTTTTTATAAAATCAACAACGTACGAGGGAGGATTTTTATAATGCAGAGAAATGTGATAGTCTCGATTTTTATAGTTTGGAGAATATGGGTTTTCTTACGAGTAGAAAATTTATTATGAATGAGAAAATCATCCCTCGTATGTTGTTGATTTTATAAAAATTTTGAGAGTTAAAAAGAGGATATTAAGAAAAAATTATATGGAATTTTTCTTGTACTATAAAATTATTTTTGAAGACGTATAACAAATGAAATTTATTTTTACAAATATCGTATAACATTACATGTGAGCAAAACTAGTATAATTAATAAATATTTTCAATTAATGTAATGGTGTAACGGTATAGCAAAATATATAGCAGAAATATGTATGAATACTTTTATTAATTTTTTAATAAATTATTATAAAATTAGACGTCAAGCAGTGGTGCAATCTTTGAAACAGTGGGTGAAGACTATTCACAGGTGAGTTTTACTAATCTTCAACAGGTACGTTCCTCACTTTCTTTTGCATTTTTTGATAAAGTAAGACATTAGTACTTGTCATAACACTATTGAAATTAAACATAGATAATTAATTTTGATTTTATAGCAAAAATTTGTCATACATTATTGCTTAGAAAGTCGGAAAAATTGATTTTAATTGAATTTTTAAAAATATGCACTGGTGGCGCCATCTCTTTGGCGAACAGGGCGAACTACACGTATCTGGAACACTACTTAAATTAGTTCTTGTGCTTACGGCTAGATGGCGCCACTATGCTATGTATTCATCAGTCGTCGGTTAAGAAGAATCCTGTGATCAAAGCTGTCGGTCAAGAAAACTTCTATTTGCAATTCTGAACAAATGATCAAAGTTTAAAGCAATCGTTAATAATCAAATAATTAATAACTTTACAGAAGTACCTAATTTTATTGAAATTGATACTGAATTTAATATTAATACATGCTCTTGGATGAAGGTTTTGCTTGCAGAATGAATAGGAAATGATTTTGTTTTTTTTTTAAATAAAATTGAAGATGACCAAACGACGATAGCTTTAAATATTAATTTCTTCATAAATGCAAACAGAACTCTACTTGACCGACGGCTTTGATAACAGATTTCTTCTTGACCGACGGCTTTGAGAACAGATCTCTTCTTGACCGACGGCTCTGATAACAGGACTCTTCTTGACCGACGGCTATAATAACAGAATTCTTCTTTACCGACTCTTCTTGGCTCTGATGATCACCACAGTTTTAGTACACGTTGCGCCATCTAGTGTCGAAATGTAGGAACTACTCAAACTAGTGTCTCCATAATGTGTAATTCACCCCGTTTGTTGAAGAGATGGCGCCACTAAATTTAAAAAAATGTCCAATCACAACTGATTTTTTCAGCCTAACATTCAATAAAAGTCATCAAGTTTCTTCCAAAAATATCAATAATTAGTTCCAATGTTTCAATGCTTTAAACCCACAAATAAGTTAAAGCTAAATTATAATTATAAGCTAAATTTCTGACAATATTTCTAATTGTACAATACTGTCTCAAATCTATAATACTCCCACTGCAAGTTATTACAGGTGTTTCAAACTTGTTCCCCTTTCCTATCATTTTCCCCATGGAATTCAAATTTACCGTGCACATATATGTACTCATAAACCCAGCTTAGAATCGACCCTGCATAATAGCTGACCCACATCCTATCCGCGACTTAGCTATTCGATACTCACAGCACGTAGGATTTTCGGAGACAACGCGATCTGATTTGAAAAGAGTAACGGCAGTC